CCTACCCGTTCGCGCCCGCCCCCGGGGCGGCCAGCAGCTCGGCGGCGGAGCCCGAGGGGCCCGGGGCCAGCCGCGCCGCCGCGGCCAAGGCTCCGGTGAAGAAGAACCCGAAGGTGGCCAGCGTGAGCGTGCAGCTCGAGATGAAGGCGCTGTGGGACGAGTTCAACCAGCTGGGCACCGAGATGATCGTCACCAAGGCGGGCAGGTCAGGCGCCCCCTCCCCGCGCCCCTGCCCACGTGCGTGCCGCGCTCCCGGCTGCGTGTCCGAGGGATGCGCAAGAGCCGGGCCGACAAGCCGGGGGGACGTGCGGCCCTGCCACCTGCGGGTCCCTCTGGCCTCTCTGCTGACCCGGCTCCGGCGACAGTCCGCGGAGCACCAACCGCGAGTCCCTGGAGTCCGCGAGGGAAATCTGTGAGCCGAGAGTGCGCCCGGCTGCGGTTAGGCGGCCGCCGGCTAGGGAACCCCCGCGTTGGTTCAGTCTGTATGGCTAGCTCAAGAGCAAACATCTCTTAGTTTGTATGGATAATTTTAGGAGAGCTTTAAGGCCATTGAAAGCCAGTCCGCTCGGTTTCCGGGAACTCGAGACCCGGTTTTCTTGGGCCTCAAGTTGGCCGTTGTGGGCCCAGTTCTCTACAAGCCTGGCAGGGTATCCGTGCCAGTGGCCTTGTTGTTTGTTTTAAGAGCCGAGAGGGAAAGGGAACAATTGCAGATGCTCCCGATTTGACCAGGAGACAAAGGCGGGTGCTGGGTTGTGTCTAATGTACACACCAGCTCCTTGGCCAAGGAGGCTCAGGGCCTGTTTGCAAAGCCTTGCCGAGGTTTCTGTTTCCCTGCTGTGCAGTCCTCCCCAGGGAACCAGGGAACGGAGGGCCTGTCCCTTGCTGCTGCTCTGCGGGTTTTCTCCAGGCTCTTTAGCTGTCCATACCAACACTGAAGACAGCCTGGGGCAGACCAACAAGGGCCTTGAATGGAGGGGTTTAGAGGCGAGGGAGGAAACCGGGGAAAGTATAATCCGGAGTCCTTTGCAAGCAGGTTCTTGGGGGAAAGCGGGAACTTGCCTGTGCCCAGGTGGAGACTCTGGCCAGGTCTTGAGAGTTGGAGACTGGAGCACTGGGGCGTCGGTGTTCCTGGGGGACTGGACCACACCAGCAGTAGAGACTTTTGGAATCACTGCAGTGTTCGGTTTCACTTTGTTGGAGCCGGGAAGTCTTCGCTTTGTTGGACCAAGCAGGGGAGGCCCTGAGAAGGGCAGAGAGGCCCCAGGATCTGGATCTTAGGTACCCTGCTGCTGGTTGAGGCTGTGTCCAGGAATTCCTGGGGCAAGGTTGTCTGTGTAGGCAAAGAAGACAGAACCGGCTTTGGGATTCTGGTTAGGCATTTCTGTGTTTCAGAGAGGGGCCTGGGGCCTGGCCTGCCGCTGCCTTGCCCAAGGTTGGATAAGGGCCTACTTGAGGACAGAGAGCCTAGACAGCAGCTAAAGAGGGAGCAGAAGGAAGGGCTGAGCTAGGGGCTGGCCGGCCAGAGAAGCTAAGAGTAGAGAGCCGTCCTGCACTCCCCCACCTGAGGTGACCTGACCTCCTCCCCCCAGACGAATGTTCCCCACCTTCCAAGTGAAGCTCTTTGGAATGGATCCCATGGCTGACTACATGCTACTCATGGACTTTGTGCCTGTGGACGACAAACGCTACCGGTGAGCAAGCCTTTGGGACCGCTGGGACAAGCTCTGTGTTCAGGGAACAGGGAGGGTGTGCTAGAAAAAACAAACAAACAACAACAACAAAAACCCTGCCTGCTGACAGACCTCAAATGCCAAGTAAGTCTCTCATGACTGGGTCCTCCTGTACTGGCTGCTCCGGGCTGCTCCTTCCCTGCCTGATACTGCTCAGATCCCACCCTATGTATTCTGAGCCCCCTTGGAGGTGCTCATGCAGTAGTGGCCTCTTGAGCTTCTGGCCACAGACAGCTCAAATATCGTCGCCTGTGTGGCCTGCCGTGTTACTCGGGTCCCCTTCCCCCCTCTCCAGAGAACCTTTGGTTGCTGAGCTGGGCCGGAAAGGTGGGGTGGCCGGTAAAGATTGTGCAGGGCGGGCCTGGGCTGCCTGCACAATTAACAGTAATTAATAAAGGGAACATGGGCCGCCCTTGCCCAAAGCCACTGGCCAGTGACGCCAAATCCAGTCTCTGACCTCCTGGGCCCCAGGGCAGGCAGACCCGCTTGCAGCGAAATGGAAGGAGGGGAGTGGCTTCCTCTCTCTCTGCGGCAGCAGGACCCAGGCTCTCCCCACATTTTCTGTGTCGGGGCCTTAGGAAGGTTTCTAGTTTCTCCAAGCTCCTCTCTCTAGCCGCTGTGAAGTGCGGGTCTTGACTTTGCGGTGGGCAGAAACAACTCTAAAGCAGAGTTCACGGCAGGCCGGGAGCTTCTTGTTTACCCCTGTAGATCATGACCCTCCCGCTATGTTGCCCTAGGTATGCTTTCCATAGCTCCTCCTGGCTAGTGGCCGGCAAGGCAGACCCCGCCACACCTGGCCGAGTGCACTACCACCCTGACTCACCGGCTAAGGGCGCGCAGTGGATGAAGCAAATTGTGTCTTTTGACAAGCTGAAGCTGACCAATAACCTGCTGGATGACAATGGCCACGTAGGCGACCCTTCTCTGGCTTCTGGGCTGTCCCCGGTTGCAGGCCTTCCAATGTCCCCACCGACTAGAGACAGAGGAGGTTCTGAGGCAGCACTGGGTGGCAGGCTTCTGACAGGATGGCCTCAGTCTGAGGGGTCACGGTCCTTCCCGTCCCCGCTCTGAACTCAGGTGGGGGACTCTTTTTAATTGGAAAGGGAATCCCTTCGTGAGAAGAATCGCAGCGGGGGGCGGGGGAGGGAGAGTATGGGGGTCTTTCCTGATGGAGAGCTTTGTCTCACACCCACCACCCCCTTCAGGCCTGGGGCAATCCTTGGGGTCCTAAGTAAAGCAGATCTACAGCCCCACCATTTGCCAGCTGAAGAAGCGTCTTTCCCTGGAAACCATAAACGGGCTGCAAGGCCCTGTGTAGTCTTTAGAATTGAGGGGTTTGCCCAGATTGGGGGGTGGGGGTGGGGGTTCACTGCTCACTTCATCCTCTCCAGGCTCACAGCCGGGAGGGGGAGGGAGGGGCTGACTCCCATCCTTGTCTTCCAGATTATTCTCAACTCCATGCACAGATACCAGCCCCGCTTCCATGTCGTGTACGTAGACCCTCGAAAAGACAGTGAGAAATATGCGGAGGAGAACTTCAAAACTTTTGTGTTTGAGGAGACACGCTTCACTGCAGTCACCGCCTACCAGAACCACCGGGTGAGGGCCTGCTGGGGGGTCCTGGGGACGGGCACACCGCTGCCCTCTCCCTCCGCAGGCCAGCCCAGCCTCCTAGAGCGGCTTGACCTCTGTAGCAGCAACTGTCACTGTAGCCTGAAAGTTTGTTTTCCAAACTATTCCGGAAACTCCCCGTCAGTGGCCTGATCCGAGGTTTGCCCAGATTCCTAGGGCGCCAGCTAAGTTGCCCTCTTTGTGCTGGGGGTGGGGGGGTGAGGAGGGCGGAGGTGACCACATTCCCATCCCAGCCAGGGACACGAGTCTTCCTCGTCATTTATTTGGGGAGGCCAAGATAGGTCTAGTGAGAGAGAGGGCGCCTCGTGCTGGGGCCGGGATGGCTGTGGGTTCCTCTCTTCTCCGTAACTCTCCCGTGTCTGTCGGCGGCTGCGGAGGTCGGGCCAGCTCACGTCGGCTTCCCCACAGATCACGCAGCTTAAGATCGCCAGCAACCCCTTCGCCAAAGGCTTCCGGGACTGCGACCCCGAGGACTGGTGAGTGCCCTCCGGGGAAAAGCCGAGGGCCGGGGCGCCGAGCCTGGGAGCCCGCGGTGACCCACTCCCCCTCCGCAGGCCCCGAAACCACCGCCCCGGAGCGCTGCCGCTCGTGAGTGCCTTCGCCCGCTCTCGGAACCCCGTGGCTTCCCCCACGCAGCCCAACGGGGCAGAGAAAGGTAGGACCCGGGGCCGCGGGGTCGCGGCCGGCCGCAGCCCGTCTCGCCCCCTCCCCGGGGCGTCACGGCTTCCACGGTCGCGCGGGGGTGGCGGCGGGGCGGGAGGGCGGACAAGCGGGCACCCGTCCTCCTGCCCTCCTCCGGGGGCGGCGGCTCGGCAGGTGCGCCCCGACGCCCCCCCCCCCCCGCCCTCAGCCCCGGCTCTCCCCGCAGACGCCGCCGAAGCCCGGCGAGAGTTCGACCGCGACCCGGGCCCCGCCGCGCTCGGCGACGCCGCGCACCCGCAGCAGCTGCTGGCGCGCGTGCTGAGCCCCGCGCTGCCCGGGCCCGGAGGCCTCGTCCCGCTCCCCGGCGCGTCGGGGGGCCGCCACAGCCCCCCTCACCCCGACCTGCGCCTGGAGGCGCCCGGCGCGTCCGAGCCGCTGCACCACCATCCCTACAAGTACCCCGCCGCCGCCGCCGCCGCCGCCGCCTACGACCACTACCTTGGCGCCAAGAGCCGGCCGGCGCCCTACCCGCTGCCGGGCCTGCGCGGCCACGGCTACCACGCGCACCCGCACGCGCACCCGCACCACCACCACCACCCGGCGGTGAACCCGGCCGCCGCCGCCGCCGCCGCAGCCGCCGCCGCCAACGTGTACTCGGCGGCGGCGGCGCCCCCCGGCGCCTACGACTACTGCCCCAGATAGTGCGCCCGCGCGCGCGGGCCCCCCGGGCCCCCCCCCCAAGGACGCGCTCCCCAGCTGGGGAGCCACGCGGGCCCCCCGCCCGCCCGCCAGTGCCAAAGCTCCCGTCCGAGGCGGAAGGAAGTGGTATTTATTGTTCTCCGCGAGACCGCGTCGCCTCCGGCCCGGCCGGCATTTGCAGTGTAGACGACCCGAGTGAGCCCCGCCTGCGGGCGGTGTAGATACGTGTAGATATGTGTAGATACTGTAGATACTGCCCCGGCGCCGATTTCATAAACGGTTTCGCCTCTTTTGGAAACTGCCGATGTATTTATTCATTTGTAGCCGATTCGATGGGGCCGGGGGCGTCTTTGGGAGGGAGGGACTCAGTGTTCCCAGCCCTGGTCACTGGGGTGGGCGTGAGCGCGGGGCAAAGGTCTCCTCCGCTAACCCTCCCCTCCCTCCCCGTGGGCTCTCCGCCTCTCTTCGCGCCGCTCCCGGGGTCCTCTCCGGACTGTCTGCGCGGTCTCCCCGGGAAAGGCACTGCCTTCAGCTCTCCACACCTGCATCTGCTGGTGCAGGACGCGGGCCTCGGTGTTGACCTGTTTGGAGGACTAGACTTTACAAGTTTTTCCGTGGAAGCCGGGAAGGATGCTCCAGACAGGACACTGTCCATCCGGCCTCGGATGGCATGTGGAAAGACAAACACAGGCGGGTTTGACCCTTCCAGCATTGCCCTGGCCTGGCACCAGCCCAGAATTGCGTTTCCCCCTGTTTATTGACTTTATTCACTGAATGTCCCCACAGAGCCATTGGGGGTGGGGGGACGCACAATGACAGTGGTCATGAGTCATCTTGAAACTCCCGTGTGAAGCAGTTTTTCCTAGGCCAGGTGGCTGGGTGACCAGTCTCCCTTAACTCAACACCATCGAAGTGGCCAAAGGAACCCTTTGATCCCTCCCTTCCTGAGCCCCAGCAGGAAGGGCCACCCGAAGGCCAGCCAGAGGCAAGGCTGCCTTATGCCTCAAATAAACGGGAAATGCCAGGTTCCATCCCTGGCTTTCTGTTTCAGTGTGTTCATGGCACTTGCTGCCGGTAGAGACGTTCCTTTCTCAGGCACTTCCAGATGTCAACCCCAAGGCCAACTTTGTCTCAAGGCTCACCTGTCCCAGGTTGGATGGCCAGCTCCTTCTCTCCAAGGGCATCTAGCACCAGGGCATGAGGATTGCAGCAGCATCAGTCCACAGGACCGGAGGGGATAGAACTGTAGGGACACTCTCCTGAGCGCCGCTATGGGCATGCGTTCTCAAGTCCTGCCCCTACCCTACCTTCAAGTGCAAGCTCTTTTCTATGGGTGACAGTGGCTCTGCCAAGGCCACCTGTTGTGCATTGGCCTCATACTTTTGTCCCTGGGAAACCAGGGACTCCATGTCTACCGGAGTGGTAGACTGGGGTTTGTCCTGCAGAGGGCAATGGTCAGCTTCTGGCAGCCCCTCTCCCTGGTGGAATGTAGCCATTTCACATTCCTTCAACAGGCAGGGAATCTGGGGAAGCGCTGTTTCCTTAGAGACCTCCACTTCTGTGTTGGTTGAAGCTGAAGTGAGCAGTCCCAGCACCCGGTTTTTGAAAATGGGGAACATACCAAAGAGCAGAGACCCTAAGTGTGCAACTCGCTGACCCTGAAAATATCTCTGCTCCCACAAAGCTGGCTTGTTCGTAAGGAGAACTGGGTCACTGCTGGCCATATGAAAGTACATTTTATGGCTCAGGTCCTCGCTGGTGTCATTCCTAGTGCTACATGATCACGCACTTCATGCTGACCAGAGGCAAATGACTCCCCAAGACCCAGGGCTTCTTTCTGGTCTCAGGGTTGAGCCTAAGAACCTCTTGGAAACAGGAGGCTGTGCAGGGGCACACTGCTGTCATGGTCTCCTTCCTCCTTGTTTGTTGTGTGCTTGGCACTGCCCTGACTGCTGACTCCATGGAGCTGACCTCTCTATAGGGAGCTGCCTCTGAACAGCCCTCGACTGCCTTAGGAGAAGTGGCTTTCCAGAAGTTTCTTTTTCTGTGATGGCCAATCTGTTTTTGTTTTGTTTTGTTTTTTGTTTGTTTCGTTTGTTGAAACACAGTTCACTATGTAGCTCTGGCTGTCCTGGAACTCACTATGTGGATCAGACTGGCCTCAAACTCACGGAGGTCTATCTACCTGGCCCTGCCAAGGAGCTGGGGTTCACAGTGCTCCACTGTGCCTGCTTTGTTTTCTGAATGTGTGCACTTTCCCGTTCAGACTCTGCACTCCCAATGTGATGGTGTTCCGAGGTAGAGCCTTTAGAATGATGCTCGGTCATGGGTGGGAGTGCTGTAGAGGTGGGTGGGAAGGGTGGACAAGGATCCCCGGAGAAGAAGGGTTAGTACCCATACAAAAGACACAGATGCTGAAGAAACAGCGCAGTGGTTAAGAACACTGGCTGTTTTTCCAGAGGATTGCAGTCTAGTTCTCAGCACCGCATGGTGGCTCAGTGTGGTTTACAACCACCTGTAATTCCAATTTCAGGAGGTACAACAGATGCCCTTCTCTGGCCTCCACAGGCACTGTATACACACGGTGCACAGGCAAAACACTCATACTCATAAAAATAAATTTAAAAAGGGAGCACACCATACCATCTTCCCGATCTTGCATTTCCAGCCTCTGGAAATGCAAGAAGGAGAAATGAGCACACCTTTAATCCCAGCTCTTAGGGGGCAGAGGCAAGCGGGTTTTTGTAAGCTCTCCATCAGCCTGATCTACACAGAGTCCAAGGACAGTCAGAGCTACAAAAACCCTCCTCCTCAAAAGGAGTAAAGTCCCCTGCTGTAAACTGACTGGCTTTTGGTGGTTACTGGTTACAGTTGACTTGAATGACTACAGAGCCAGTCTTTTCCTTTCACTTTAGCTTCCTCTGTAGCCACACTGCCTGCCCTGCCCTAGGCTGCTGTCCTGTCCTGGGTACTCTTATTTGTACCTGCATCTCCTTCATCACCCAAACCCTGGTTGGTCTTTCCCCTGTGCTGTCCCAGGCATCCCCGGATGGTACAGATAGCCTGGGTTCCTAGTCATGCTTCAAAATTCTTCAGAAATAGAATAAACAGCCAACTGGAGAACCAGACCAGCTAGAGGAAGATGAGACAAGGCCCAGAGCCTCATACAGCCTGCTAGGGACCCCAGGGGTGTCTGCCCCGCAATGGTACTTTCGTGTAAAGGGAAGTAGGAGTGCTGTGGTGCCTTGGGTCTTCTTCCTCCAGGAAAACATTTGGGATGCAGAGGACGAGGGGCACTGCTGAGGGCTGCGAGAGCAGTGCTGACAGAAAGAGACCCTCACTCTTCTGCAGCTCCGGCCCGCAGGCCAGCTGGGGAAGCCAGGAGTGTGTGGGATTCCGGCGATGACAGTGTGGAGGCTGAGACACTCAGCTCCAGGTGAACTACAGATCAAAGTGGCAGCCAGCCGGGCACTGGCAGGCATGGAGGGACGGCCAAGCGGGCATGAGGTCTGTGGTGGCAGGACAGGCTGCTTGGATTGGGCCGTGTGCCTCAGTTTTCCCTTTGTGCTTCGGTGATGTTTGGTCTGTGTAAATGGTGGGGTCCATGTGGACTCTAAGCACCGGGACACTCATGTCTTATGTTTCCTCTTCTGTGTGTGTGTTTCTTCGGGTTCCAGCTCGACTTGGCCAAGGAGTTTGCTCCACACTCCCCCCTGCCCCCCCCCCCCCCCCCGCATCTCTCTAGCCACCTTCACATCCTGCTGTGGGTCTATGTAGCCCAGGGCAAGTAGAGACTGGGCCCCTGGCCCTGCAAGGCTGACAGGACCTTCCTCCTGGCAGTGAGTCTTGCGTTCTTTGCGTTTCCCTAACCACACATCAAGCCTTTGATTCAGTTCCCTTTCCTGCTTGTTGTATTACTTCAAACCAGATGGGCTCCTCAGATGAAGTCTGGAGACTCCGAGTCTGTGTAACGCTGCCAGGTCTGTGTGTGGGAAACAGCAGAGGCAAAGGTATTCTGCTAACAGCAACCCAGGGAGGGAGAGGGCTGTTAAGCTCACAGCAGAAATTAAGCTGTCCTCTTAATTGTGAGGGCTAGCAGGGCAGCATCCTTGATCAGTTCTCATTTGCCAGGTTCATCCTCATTCCACCATCCCCTGCTCCATTTCTGGACTTTGGGTCAGCCCACAACCTGCCCTGCAGACCCCATCAGGCTTTAGCCCGACAATGGGCCCACCTGTGTGAGCCGACATGCTTGTGTCTTTTATTGATCTCTCTCTCTGCACATACTCCCCATCCCTCTATTCTTCCTGCCATTCCAGCCCTGGTTCATGGCAGCCCCCTGCCTTCACACCTACCTTTTATAATAGACAGTTTTCTTAGCTCTCCCCCACCCCCGCTGCCAAGATGGTTTCTCTCATTCCACAGTGAGGCTGCCGATGGCAGCACCCCAGGCTCCTGAAATGGCTATGCACAGGCTATGCTTAGACCCTCACCTGGAGGTCCTGATTCTACTCCAAGGTAGGTGGAATAGAATCCTTTCCTGTACAGCTTGTTCTGGCAGATAGAGGCAGCCTGGTAGACTTGGGGACCTACACCCCCTACCCTGCTGTTCCCATCCTGCTGGCTTCTAGTCCTTCTGGACTTCTGTGGTGAAGGCCCCTCCCTCGGGGAGGGGAGGAGGGCTGGCTTTCCTGAGGTGGGAGTATTCACAGGAGGAGTCAAGCCCACACTCAGAGCCCATCTCACAGGAACTCGCTGTCCCTCTCCCAAGAAGCTAACAAAGGGCTTCAGCCCTGAGGCCGAGCATAGAGCCACTCTGCAGGCTGCTGCCCAGCAGCTCCAGAAGGGTGTGGCCTCCAGCCGACCAGGATGGTCTCTGGGTTGATGTGCTATTCAGTCTCAGGCTGTCCCCTGGCTCTTGGTGCCTGGGTTTCCCTCCAGCTCAGACAATTCCCAGTCTATTGTCTTGCCTCCATCCAGACTAATTGTCTTGAAAGCAGGCT